AGTGTGGCCCGAGTGGCAGTGCGCAAATACTTCTAACACCATGAATCCCACAAACAAAACCATGATCATTGGCGCGGCCCTTTTTGATAACTCAACGTTAGCGTCCCAAGCAGCGGCTTGCGAACTTGGAATAAGCACGCTCGCGCTTCTTGCATTGTGAGTATCTCCAAGTCATGGTCCTCCTCCTTACAATGAACTTGTATGCTTGTTCAAATGTTCTTGCTCAAATGCAGGATTGCGAGAGATCTTGAATGCATTCTTGGTGGCTCTACGCCCTCGCCAAGCAATCTAGTTACCCTTATTGCGTGTAATATATATATTATGCCACTAATTGACACTCTAGACAAGCAGAATTGTACAGGGTTGGGGGTGGGGCACAAAACCGTTCTGAAATGGTTGTAATGAATCCACCGCGTCCCAATTCACGCGCAAATGCACGCAAGCAATAAGATTTCGGACGGTGGGTTCATCTTCTCTATAAAGGACCATTGCTTGCGGTTGTAGTCAAGAGGAATACATCCGCTTCAATCAATGTCTCTTGGGGTACTCCATGAGTATTGTGTGACTCTGACCGTATTCCGGCAGTCTTCTTTTTGCCAAATGGAACAAGACGATTCCAAAATCGTCAAATCTGTAAGTGGTAAAAGATCCTGCAGCGAGTGAGTACAAGCTCACTCTTGCCGACAAGTCACCCATGAGTTTTTTCCCCTCCTACTGTTCGATGTCAAACAAAAGGCGGTTTGGTTCTAAACGGCCCTCCGGCCGCATGATCGACTCCACGATCATGCTTCAGCCGTCACTAGCTGACTTTCTTTCCTTAAGGGCACACTTCAACCTTTCTTGAGCGACCCTATCCCCTTGATTCATTCCCCAAAGCGCGCGAAGTGTGTCCGGCTCAAAGCAGTCCCACCTCGCTGCGAAGTGTTTTTGCATGAATTCACAGACTCTGCGCTTTATAGGCTTGTATTCGTTTTGCGGATGCTCTTCCTTCAGCCACTCAATCCACCAAGGGATGTTCGTCTCGGTCATCTGCACACATTCCGCAATCTGGAAGCAGACTTGACGCGCGCTGCACGCGTCCGCTAGCTGGTATACGTCCTGCCAGAAAGATAGCGCGGGGTGCTTTGAGCCCGCTTTGAGGCTTGAAAGCATCTCGTTTTCGTAGTGCTTTTACTATACAACGCGTTCCTTCCTGATCATGCTAAGGCAATGACTGCTTAAGAAACAAGCAAAGAGTCTCTTTTTCATTCACATAAGTACTTCTTATCCTTACTTTTGTACCAGGACGAGCGATTCTGACCATCGCGTTCGAGGATGGTTTAAGAGTTACATTTAGGGTTCTGCATGCAGAGCTTCCAGGAGCAACACTTCTCTTTTCCAAACCTTACTGATCTTGAAGGTAAGCACCCCCAACCGTGAACTTACCTCAAACATGCTCGTGCCCCTCCATTCAAGAACCTGGAGGACAACCGGCACTCCGTACAGGCACTTCAAAAAGGACTTGACCGTTTCTCCATCGGCAGGGACAGGCAGAGGAAGCTCCCGTTTCTCCTCAGAGGACATGCCTCTGAACCATCGCTCGCTCAGCAGTGCTTGGAAGTAAGGAGCAGACTTTTTCAGGACTGATGCATGAGCCGGGGTTGATCCATCCTGTGAACAGAAAACGCGAAGCTTGAACTGTGGTCAAACAAAACAATTATCAGATCACAGAATCTGCTGTCGGCTCAGGGGTATTTTCGTACAAGGATACAGCACGGAAAGCGCGTAGAAGCAAGGAGTTTTTCATTGCTATAGCCTCAATCTAACATAAAGTCAATTTGAACTTACTCGGCATGCACCAAGAAATAGTCAGCAAGCATGGCAGGAATCAACGATATCACGGGCTGTTTTGTTCACCTTCCAGTCAGATAGTCTTTCAGCCTAATATTTTATCTCATGCACTTACCGTCGTAATAGATTGAATTTACAGTCCTCGTTGCATATGCTTGACAGGCCAGGGCTAAGTAAGCAGATGCGTAAGGTTCATTCACCTGCCCAGTGAGATCGACGTCGCCAGATTCGTCAACCTCATTAAGCAACTTCCAGCCTTCTGATCGCTGTATTTTGATACGAACTTTGTCACATTTCGAGTACGTTCGCTGCAGCACCACGTTGATGAGCACTTGCACTCTGGAGTTAGAAGGCAATTTGCCAGCGGCGAAGTACCTGGTTAATGTGACCCCTAACATGACGTCTCCCCGACCTAGATGGTTGCAGGTCCCACTATATTGAGCTGACTCATCAGATTCCACAAAAGCTCTGACGTTGACTCTTTCCAGAGAAACCTTGAAATCTCCGAGAGCGTCGCTTGCTGCCAAGGGGTCTTTGTTCATCTTGAGGGGAAAGTAGATACAAGGCCATGATTCTGCCGTACTGGATCCCGGAAATTTCACGTCCTCAGAAGCTCCTACAAAGCCGACAAGGTCACCGTCTTTGAAAGGCAACTTTTGACCATCAATCTCAGAAGATGTTAGGAGGGTCATTTGGTATGGCTCAACACCTTTCAACAGGTGGCCTTCGAGTGTAGTCTCATAGTCGAAGTGATAATAATGGTCGAAGCTTGTAGTCCAAAAGCGTCGTACGCTCTCTGGCATGTCTTCCATCTGTCCCGAATCCCACTGTTGAACATCCTGCGCCCATCTTAAGGGTCTCAATTCTCTGGAACCCATGATGAATGCGCCCTACAACTTGCGAAAGCAGATTGAGTCTGACCATACCACTCTCACAATGACATGAAACTCAATCTCGAAAAGGGCTTGCCGCGCCGGATCGCGGCCGCTTTCGCGGGAAGGGGTTTCTCGCGTTTTGGCACTGTCTAGGCCCGACTCGGAAGCGCTCCTGGCCGGCCGTCGCGCTACGCCGGCAGCCGCTCTTGCCCGGCCCTGATCGCGGCCGCCCAGCGCTGTCCTCCGAGACATCTACTGAAAGCAGTGCTCGGGGGTTAGAGCGCATAACTCTCTGTAAAAGGGTTGGAGTTAGGCGGTTTATATATATCGCAGCTAATCGAAACGGTTCCGTCTCGCTGGGCGGCCGCGCCCCTGGCAAGAGTGGCCGCCGTGGCGCGACTCAACGGCCGGCGGCCGCGAGCGCCCTAGCTGATTTCAGTGTCACCAGGTGCCAAAACCCTCTGCGAACCCCACGCCGCGAGGGCGGCCGCGAGTCATCGCAGTCGGCTCTTTTGCAGAAGGTTCATCGATGATGGTGGTGCACACAGACTCAAAGTGAGTTCAAGAGTTCTTAGGAGGCGCCCATCATGGGTTCCGAAGTATTGAGACCCTTACGATGCGCGCAGAATGTCTACAGAAGAGACTCCGGAAAGATGAAAGACATGCCAGAAAGCGTGCGACGCTTTTGGACGACCAGCTGTCACCAAGATTATCAGCTAGATTATGAGATTAGGCTCAAGGGCCACCAATTACAAGCTGCTGAACCATATCAGTTGACCCTCCTTACATCTTCGGAGATGGACGATCAAACGGTGCCTGTGAAAGACGGTGATTCGTTTGGCTTAGTAGAAGTTTCTGAGCTCGTGGGATCGGGCGTGCATTGCCCGGATGCAGGGCGTCGTCTGTCATCCATTTCACCCTCAAGGTGAACAAAGACCGCTTGGCAGCATGCGATGGTCTTGAGGATTTCAAGGTTTACTTGGGAAGAGACACCGTCAGAGCTACCGTAGACTCAGATAAGGAGACACATAATGTATCGGTGGGGCCTGTCACCGTGTCAACAGGACCGGAAGATTACGTCATGTCAATAGTCAAAGTCTACAGAACGCAGGCCGTCGGCAGAGTGCCTTTAAACGCCACAGTGCAGGTTCGTATCTGCGTGCTGGTGCAGCGAACGTACTCGCAAAGCGACAAACTTCGTAACGAAGTACAGCGGTCACGTCCGGGTTGGAAGCTACTCAGCGAAGTCGACAGATCTGGAGACGTCGATCTCATTGGACAGGTAACTTTGTCTCTGTGAATGCTTTTGTAACCCTAGCCTAGCATGCGCACCCGTATGCATGTCTCGGTTCGATCATAGCTTTAGTTGCGTATGTGACTTGAGTGAAACAGGCCAGTAATCACTGAAGTCCAGCCATTCTTGGTGACGGATCTTTGATGTAATTCAAGTGCGTTCCAAATGAGTACGTAATCCTTAGAAACTTTCTAAACACATTGATGCGAGGCTTTAAGATCTGCTCCTAGATGCAATTCCAGGCTTATATGATTTTGGCAGAAAGTCATTTGTTACAGCAGCAGAATCTATCTCTTCTTTTAGCTCCAGTCTACCTTCCTATTGCAGGACGGGTCGACCTCCGCTCATGCATCAGTGCTGAAGGATAGTGCTTCATACTTCCAACCACTGCTAAGCGAGAGATGGTCTGGCGACATATCTTCTGAAAAGAGATTGAAGCTCCCTTTGCCGGTCCCTGCCAATGTAGAGATGGTGAAGGCCTTTTTGAATTGCCTGTACGGAGTGCCGGTTGTTTTACAGGCTCTTGAGTGGAGGGGCACGAGCTTGCAATTGTTTGAGGTGAGTTTAAGTTCGTTAATTGTTCAGAATATAAGACGCATATATAGGAAGATTGTTCATTCCGGAAGCTCTTCACGCAAGCTCACCTTACATGTGATGCTTGGGCCATACAAGAAAGCGAAGGTTGAAAAGGAAGGACTTGATACTTGAGACGAATCAGGAAATTTTATGTCGGCAAAATACAGGGAACTCCTGAAAGCAGTCATCCAGAAACCATCTCGCTGCATTGCTCTCGCACACTTGGAAAGAAACGTGTTCCTTCCGTAACTAGAGCACTACGAAACTGTTGCCTTCAAACCTCAGTAGCTTCTTTTCTCACCGCGCTGAATTCTTGCAGAACGTCTACCAGCTAGCCGACGCGTGCGGCGCCCGCAAAGTCTGCTTCCAGATTGTGGTGTGTGTGGAACTGACCGAGAAGAACATTGCTTGGTGGATAGAATGGCTGAAGTGGGAGCATGTGCCAGACGAAGACCAGGCTCTGAAGCCCGGGGTCTCTACTTTCCTGCAAAAATACTTCGCGACGAGGTGGGACTGCTATGAGCCGGACAGGCTTCCCGCATTCTGGAAGCTAGACCAGAGGGATAGTGTGGCTGGAAAAGGCTGAGAATCTGGAGTGCCTCCAGGAAAGGACGGTAGTCGGGCTGAAGCATGATCAAGACGTAGGGTCGATGAAAAGGTTGGGGCCCGTTAATTCAGAAACATGATTTTCGAGAATATTGTGGCTCTATTGTAGCTTGAACAGGGAGGGAAGCCTTCCGTTCAACCAATTTGTCGCCATTTTCAGCTTGTCCTCTCTTATACCTCTCTTACTGTATCATTCACCACTAGCAAGCTTGCATGCAATGATCTTGTTGAGTCCACACCTTGAACCTCCGCAGAAGTAGAAGGCGCGGCCGGAATAAAGTCGCTTTCAAGAAACCCGTGCAGAACTTTGAATGATAGTGATTGCCACGCACTGAAACACTGGGAATAGTAGGCTCCAACACAAGGTAACGCCTGGCCCAGCGAATGTATATGCTGCAGTGCGGACTCGATCGAATGAATACACATACAGTCGAATTAAGCCATACTTCAGTGTGCATGTCGCAACATACCTATACACAAACATGTGCATCATTTGAAGCTGGAAGCTAGCATGCAATTATGAGGTTTCATGCACGTGTTGAAGATTTGCTACTCAATCAATCCCATGGCAACCATGTCAGTGTACTTTCAATGATGAGCAGGCGCGGCAAATCTGTTAATCTCCCCGGTCCGACAGCAGTACGAGCGAAAGGGTGGCCAAACGCACATGTGCATGCAACTAATAGTGCACATATGCCGGCAGCAGCTGGCATGTTGCCGTAGCTAGTGCACCACGAAGACATATGTATTGAAGCATTGCTCTTGGGAGATTCAGTAGCTGAATGCTCATATTATCGCTTCTTGCCGTCCCACGTGAAGGTTCATCAAGCGAATCTTGACATTGGAGACATATATGATGATTGCCCTTTGTACCGAGCAGCGTCGCATTCCACTCAAGGGGGCTCAGCGTATGTAACCTCTGAGAGGTCAGTAGAATGATCGAATCAGCAGCTAGTCCTAAGGATAACTCAATCCTCATATTCACGCACAACAGCCCGTACAAGACGGCAAAAGCTGCTCACAAACACCTGAACTAAGATCTGTAACCTGTGCGGGATTTCTACAATGCCAATGCGGAGCTGGATCAGTCGAACTAAGGGTTGGCAATGTTGTCGGTGTTTATACTTAACAATAGAAGGTATGCGAGCGGTATGAGTATAGCTAACCACACTAAGACTCGCCGATTGTCCTCTCCTGCAGAGAGCAATATCGTTTCTCAGTATTTTCTGACAGGAAGGAACAGCCTTAATCCTCTCCGACCCCGCCAAAATATACTGAAAGTATGGCAACAACGATCAGTCTGATTGAGTCGGCTGGACAGCCAATCTGAAGCAGCGAGCAAGCAATGAACTTGATTGAGGCTTTACTGAAACAGATCTCCTTCGATCTTTCGGCAACAGAAAGCATTCGCGACATGCCCAAGCAACAGGGCAATCTCTCACGCTCTCAAAGCAGATGGGTGCACTTGAAAGCGGAACATCAGGCCCTTCACTTCAACCTCCAATCGCGTTTCCGACGGGCCCAAGACGCTTTCAAACGAGCTTGAGAATGTAGAGAAAGATACTGCTGAAAACGCGACAATTTCCCAACTTCTCATAACAAACCAAACGCACGTCCCCAAAACCCCCCCCACAAAGAAAATCTACCTTCCTTCAGCGTCTTGAGCGCGCCCGTCAGCTGCTTCTTCACATCCTCCACCGTCTCGCCGAGGTCCACGGCGTCAGGATCGCCCATCACGTTTTTTTCCGCTGCCTGGTCCTCCAAAGGATCCGCGATGCTGACGTCAGCAACCGGCGTGGGCTCCCTCACGCTGACGTTGGCAACCGACGGCCTCCTGGGCGCCGAACCGTCCTCCTTTCGCGGCGGCGGCGCTCTCCCGGTGCGGTTAACTCCCCGCGCTAGTTCTCCCTCCTGCTTCCGCTCGAGCGCCTCGGAAGCCACCGGGGAGCTGTCGGTGATCGGCGCTGACGCCCCCACCGGCGTCATCGTCGCGGTGCTGACGTCATTCTGCACGGTGCTGACGTCACTCCCGCCCGCAATGGTGACGTCGGCCTCCTTCCCGTCCTGGGCCACGTGAAACGTGCTGCCCTCGGAGCCGGCTTTGGCGACCTTGAGCGGCAGGGCCGGCTCCGAAGCCTCCGCGGTGTTGCTGACGTCAGCCTCGTCGCGGAAGACGGCAAAGTCGTGCACGCCAGGCTTGGACTTGTCGCGGATCGCAACCTCGCGGACGTCATTGGGAGGCTCCTGCGGATTGGACCATACGGATTGGTAGTCGGAAAAGTGAACCGGAGGGCCTGCTATGGTATTATACCAAGATTGAAACGGAGAGGACTGCTATGACATCTTCCCAAAACAGTGGCGAAATGGTAAGTTAAGAGGCTCATTGAAAAGTTTCTTTAATATGTGGGACTTGCCACTGCTTCCCTCGGTGGCAAGATGGACGCAGCAAATCTATAACACCAAAAACGGGACATGATGCAGACTTCTCCCCAAATACGGACGGAGATATCTGCTTCCGACAAACACCAGTATTCTGGTTACAACCGCAGGAGAGCGAGAAAACCGTTGGTGCTGTGCAACTTACTCATGAGCTGCAGAGTCGGGTTGAAAGAGCACACGTGCGGGTTCTGCGGATTGGGTGGTCGGAATCAACACGCCGCAGAGGGGATGACGAGAGAACCAACGTTCAGCTCGCAACAGCTGCTCGAACGAAGCTTTGATCCAGATTGTACTCGGGATTCTCAAAGATATCTGTCCCTTGCCACTTTTTCAACGTACGCCAATGGCTCCAAACCCTAGCTCTCCTTCAAACGTCACTCCAAATCACAACCAAATGCTCGTAAAATGGAACATTTGGGGTGAGATTTCAAGTGTTCCCGTCACCACCTTTTCCCCGTAAATCCTGTTGGCCGAACCCTAGGTTCTCAGTCTCACAAATCTCACCATTTCCGGGTTAAGTTTTGGAGGGTCGCCCTCGCAACTGTTTCAACATGTGCGCTCTGTTGGGTCCAAAGCGCGGATTTCTCGACGACCTTTCAGAAACTGATTTCGAATCGAGGTTTGAAGTCTCCCGCTCACCACTTTTTCTACGTGCGCCGTGTTGGCCCCGAACCCTAGGTTCTCGACCGCATTTGCGATGCCCTCCGCCCAGAAGTCGCTCGCGCTCTCCCGGAAGTCTTTCACGCCCTCCTTCAGCGACGGCGGGACCGCCTCGTTCAAATTCTGCTGTACCACCTCGATATCGTCCTGAGCCTGTTAAAGAGGGCGTCAAATTTCAAGCGCACTAGTGGCATCTAAGTCCTTAGGGAAATACTCATCGGACGGACTAAATTGCATCTTGGAATTTGTCCCGAGCGACCAATATGCCCCATTTCTGCGGTACATGGTCGCCGAGGCGTGACGGTTCACGGGACGCCCTCTTTAAGAGAGGATGTTAGAGGATCCTTCAAGGGTTCTGAAAGGCTTTGAAAGCAAGTTTATGGAGGTTGTCGTTGGTTTCTATTGGGATGTTCGAAGACCTTTGAAAGAATTGTTCAAAGGATTTGCAGAAGCATCAGGAACGCTTTGATGCAAAGGCCCGGGGGTCTCCGGCGGGCCTCGCAACACTCCATTACCATTTCGAGTCCCTATTGAAAGTTCCCGTTCGAGTAGACTATCAAAGGAAGGCGCATGTAGGAACAAGAAAAGCATATAAGAAGGGTCAAGTGTGAGGACAACCCACGGCTACCGCGCCTTATAATAGGGTCACGGGTTAGTGCTTCTTGATTGGTAAGTCAGTCGCCCCCTGATCAGGAGACTTGGAAAGGAGATGATGATCAAGCGAAGCACGCCCAAGCCGGATCATGGTTCTTCTGTTCCATTGCCGACCGCCACCGCTTGGGGCAATGTGAGACGGCCGCCGAATCCCTTCTGAATGGCCACCGCAATTGCCGCCACCACGAACCAATGAAAGCAAAAGACTGTAAGTGAGATTTTGTGAAACCAAGTGGCAGTTGCTGTTGGGAAAGTGCTCACTCGCTCACTGCCAGCCGCAAACCGCCTACCATACCCCCGGCGGGATGGGGTCGACTTTCGTTTCGATGCCGGCCGCCTTTGCTACAACAGGAAATCAAGAATAGCACAGAAAGGACGATGTTGATACATAATGTAGAAACGGGGAGGCTGTTGAGAAGGAGAGAAGTGCTCCCTCGCTCGCGCCGACCGCCTCCGGTATCTCTGGCGGCATCGACTGGAGTCCGTTCTAATTGGCCGCCACAATCGCCGCCACCACAAACTCAAAGCGGACTTATATATCTTGACTTCAATCGGCAGATGCTGTTGAGGTGAAGTGCTCACCCGCTCACTGCCGGCCGCAACCGCCTTCGGAATTTCCGGCAGGGTTGCGTCGATCCCTTTCTGGATGGATGCCGCAGTCGCAGCCATCACGAGAACGAAACGAAAAACTTCGATAGGATTTTGAGTTCAACCGGCAGATGCTATTGAACTAAAGTGCTTACCCGCTCGCTCCCGGCCGCGACCGCCTCCGGAATTTCCGGCGGGATCGCGTCGATCCCCTTCTGAATCGCCGCCGGGATCTCCTCCGGCAGCGCGTCGATGCCCTTCTGGACGCCCTCTGCGACCGCGACCGGGATGTCGTTGGTAACTAGATCGGGGATCCTGCTGACGTCAAACTCGGGCAGGTCCTCCACGAAGGTGGTCTTGCCCTTGCGGGTGGGTGACGACATCGGGACCGGGCCTGCGGGGGGGTGGAGTGAATTACTTTTCAGTCTACTTCTCAAAATCCAAAATACTTTTTGTCTCTTCAAAGCTAGCAGGTTATCGTTTGCAGTGAGCTTTCGGATTTGGAGGAGGTTGATGCAATGTGGGTCTCTCTTTCAGGTTATTTTCGTGGCTTTCGGGTGGAGGAGCAAGGTCAGGCTCGGCACGACGAATGATGCATCTCTACGAAATCTTCTCAGCTGTTAATGTTCCCAAGTGTTACGGGCTTCGAAAACTTCGTCCTCAGAACGAGTGCGCTTTAGTCGATCGAAGTTGCAGTCTGTCGGAGCTTTCTTAGCCATCGTGCTAATGAAAGGAGGAAAGAGGTGCGGGACCTTACGAGCATGGTAAAAATGACACAGCTAGCCTTATAAGTGATTGTGTCTGTAGCCACTCTGACCTCCATCAAAACAAAGTTGAAGATCAAGACAGAGCGCAACAAGAGCGCAATTTAATCGCTCGAGAAAGTAGTAAGAAACGGGTTCGCACCATTTGAAGAAGCCGAGAACTCCGTAACAAGAGCAGACAAGAGCGCACTTGCACCCTCCTTTGATGCCATCGTTCGCGTGCAACTGTTTGCAGCACTGAATCTGGCTTCGAGAACCGCTCGACCATACAGTCTTCGTTCCCCAAGGCGGAAGAGGCAATCCGCTAACACTTTGTTTGCCGTCAATATGCATCATGAAAACGCGCTTTGATCGCCAGCCGTACCGCAGAAACTAGAACCAACAAAGCGCCAGTACGTGTCGCCGAAGCGCATTCACACCCACCTTCGTCTTCGTCATCCACGTACGACTTGTACGTCAGCCTTAGCAGCAGTTGCCCCGCGGGCCGGGAAACTTTGGTGGGGCCCGAAAACTTCGTTCCCCGTTATTTGTGAATCAGAAAACGCACATTGGCAAGACAATCAACCCTAGAGCAACTACGTGACGTCAGAGCGCATTTACACCCACCTTCGTCTTCGTCATCCACGTACGACTTGTACGTCAGCCTCAGCAGCAGTCGCCCCGCGGGCCGGGAAACTTTTGTGGGCCCGAACCCTTGGTTAGCCACAAGATCGATCCACACATCCACCGGCTCTAGATCGGGGAGGTTTGCAAGGTCGATGGCGCCTTTCGCCACGTCTAGTTTGAGCGTCGTCGGGCTGTCGCGGACCTGCGCATTCGGACGCCGTTATTCCACTTCGCATTTCGGACGGCGTTTTTGGTTCACATTGCGGATGACGCTTTTACATGTCCAGAAGGAACTTGATCCAGCGGTGCTGGGGGTGCCGTTGAGCGGGAGTGAAGCGATGAGGAATGAACAAGGGATGGGCTCCCGGGGGAGGAAGCGGACAGCTGGCTTTGTTGACACCGTGTCGCCGTTCAGTCTTTGCTTTCCTAAGGCCCTTTGTCTTCCGATTTAATGATGGCCTCGGGATGAAACTCTACTATACGGCAAGGTGTTGCCAAAGTTAAAATAGCATTAGACGGCCCATCATGTTTTAGGTCTGAGATTAGCGACCAGATTCTGGAAAGCCCTGCTTCGACCTAACTTGTTCAGCGAACGCTCTAAAAGGAGCGAGTCGAAACGGGCAGAGAGCACCATCGTACCCTCAAGACAAGGCGCCCTTCAAAACAGTAGACTCTCTCCTCGCTCACCTCGGTGTCCCAAACCGAGGGGAAGGTTTCACAGAGGAACGAACCTTGGTTTAAAGACTTGAAAAGAGGAATAGTAGACTGGGTTAAAGAAACTAACCTGAACCACCAGCTTCTGCGTGATCGTATCCTCGATCAGGAAGAAGAAGTCCTGGTTCCACACCGGATTCCCGGCCTTGCCCCGGATCGACGTGTCGCTATCCCGCTTGCTGCGCACCTCTTGCTGCCCGATCGTCAGAATGCAGTGCGGATCGCTTAGGAAGCCTAACCCCCACACCGGCAAGTTTTCGGCTTCGCATAGAGTGACGTTCAACTCGCCCTTGAAACCGGAGTCGAAGGCGAGGTTGGTGGGGGATTCGGTCTGCGGGCCGGGCCCCGAGACGCGGTCTTTCATCAGGTCGATCAGGACCTGCGGGGAGGTGACGTCAGCGTGTCAGCGAAGATGACTTTGATTAGACAAAAGGGGACGAAAAGTCCCATCGCTTAGCCGGGGAGTCGGTCTGCGTGCCGGGGCCCGAGACGTGGTCCTTCATCAGGTCGATCAGGACCTGCGGGAAGGCGACGTCAGCGCGTCAGCGAATACGACGTCAGCAATTTAACGAACATGATTTTGTCAAATAAGGACCAGAACTCTTGATCGTTCGGATAACGTGCCGATTTGCACAATGGGCTCTGATTCTTCAGCAGTTCGATCAGAACCTGTTTGGAAGTGACCTCAGCGTGTGAGCGAAGACAACGTCAGCAGGTGACCTGGAGTGACCTTTTTGATCTCCAAAGCTGATCAGACAATCGCACTTTCATGTACGATAACTTAACACAACCTACACGCTTGTCCTTCGCCACAATGATCATCTTTCCTAGAAAGATGGTGACAAAACGGTCCAAAGAAAGATGGGGACATCCAGCATACCTTGTTGTGGCAGCTCGAAGTTGCGTGGTTGCTCCTCCGTCAGTAGAATGAGCAGAAACGTTCAGGATATCTTAATTTCTTCGCCAAAATCGTTCAAGCCATGGTAAGAATAGCTCAGACAGCAAAAACTTGTTTTGCGCACCTTGTTGGGCAGCTCGAAGTTGCGCGGCAGATCCTCCGTCAGCAGTCTGAGCAGGAACGTGGAGATGAGCGGGATGTTCATCAGGTTCACGAAGCGGAACGGGGCCAGCACCAGCTTGATCTTGGGCTTGTTCGCAAACGCCCACGTGAACGATCCGACGTACGGCTCCATAGGAACGAGGCGGATCTTAATCCACAATTCCGCATCCAAGTCCAGCTTGCGGACACCGACCTGTAGAGAACATAATGCGAGTCAGGCTCGATTTTTTTCGCAGTCAAAAAGTTGAACTAGAGGTATAAGCGAGCACCAGCTTGAACTTGGACTTATTAGCGAACGCCCACGTGAAGGATCCAACGTACGGTTCCATAGGAACGAGACGGATCTTGATCCACAGCTCCGCGTCCAAGTCCAGCTTCCGAACGCCGACCTGAAGACAATATGTTGTTTTAAGCTCGAGGCTTTCGCGCTTTTGCTTATAGAGTGAGCGAGCAACAATTGTGGGCTTGTTGGTGAATGCCAACGCGAGTGAACGACTCCGCATAGCTTGGACGAGACGAGACAGATCTAAGCATCTGAGTCCAGCTTCCGGACACCGACCTGTAGAGAACATAATGTAAGGCAGGTTCGAGTTTTTTCACAGTTGGAGAGTTTAGGGTCCTTGAGATATGAGCAAGCACCAGCTTGATCTTGGGCTTATCAGCGAACGCCCACGTGAACGAGCCAACGTATGGTTCCATCGGAACGAGACGGATCTTGATCCACAGCTCCGCGTCTAACTCCAGTTTCCGGACACCGACCTGTAATGAGTCAGCATTTGAAGTATCAACAACAGCTCAATTGCGGGCAAATGTAACGTGGAGGATTTTAAGTATGGTTCCATAGGGACAAAAAGAGAACTTCTTCCGCAGCTCCGTGTTCAAGTCTAGCTTCTGGACACCGACCTGCGATGGTTTAGAAACCCGCGGGTTGCATTCGTTTCAAGAATTAGCTGGCACGAGCTCGATTTGCGGGCAACTATACGTGGCAATACTGATTTTAACGTACGGCTCCAAAGGACGAATCGGATCTCGATCCACAGCTCCGCTATTGAGTCCAGCTTCCGGACACCGACCTGTGGAGTCAGGGCGTGTGCAAGCGTCCATGTGGAGTGCAGTTGCACAGATTTAGCGGAGCATCGTCCACACCTCATTTTGAACTTGTCATTCTTGAGCTTGTCCGCAAAAGCGACACCAAGAATCCCACGTATGGGAATATCGAGAGGGATCTTCATCCGCAGCTCCGTGCCTCAATCCAACTTTCAGACACGAACTCGGGAGCTGACTGTTGCCGAAGGGAACAAGAAGATCGCTGATAAACTGGACGAGATTATTCTCTAAAGCAGTTATTTTATGCACAACTTCTAGCTTCGAATAAAGCGATGACATTCATTAACTTTAACCCAAAAGTCAAGCCTGTATCTCACACATCTACCTGCTCCGCACCCTGTCCACCTTAAACCCCCTTACTAACCCCACCCGTCCAAATTATCACTCTCAAGAGCTTATCGTGACGACTCTAAAGACCAACTTGGATAAGTGCGCTCACCGGCATTTCGATCTTAACCGGCCCCGATTGGATAGGCACAAGGAGCAGCATTCGTGCGCCGCCCGTGTACCGGAAGGCCAGGTTATACCTGCGTGGGTGTAGCAGTTTCCTGTGAATTCTCTTGTTTTTCTTCTCCTTCTGTCCTCTGCCGTTCTTGATAGTCGTATTTAACTTTTATCATTGAAGTACCTTTGAAGGGCATGGACACTGAACCACTGGGCCTAGCATCACTGAATGCCTTCCGAGCTCGCGTTCTTCGATCCTTATGACGAAATGCACAGTGCCCTTGGATAGAGTCTTCCTGCTCAACAAAGAAAATGCTTTCCTCAATCGATAGAGAAGAAGACGGCATAGGAATGAGAAGGAAGAAGCACAGATTGACAAACGATGCGCACCAGAAGAAGACAAGGGGAGCAAGGAACTCATCGAAGCTCGTCGTGCAAGATGCAATGCTGCAATGTTGTGGACGCCTTTTGCCCCGTTAAGCATCAGAACTCCAGAGAACAACGGTTGAGAAGAGGAGACGGCACCGATGAATTTTAGAGGACCAAGCGAAAGACTTACGCGGTTGCTCACCGCAAGACACGCGCTCGACGTTTTGGAGACGGAATCCGGCTTTGGAACTTCGGCAGCGTTGACAGGGGAGATGAGACCAGATCAGCAACCAAGAAAAGACGAGGTGACTGCTCACCGGAGGTCGTTCGCCCCGCGGGAAGCGCGCCGCTGCTTGCTGCACGTTGCGCGCTTAGAGGATCCCGATTTGAATCTACAAGTTCTAGGAAGGAACTACGTGATATCCATTGAAACCCTCAAAAGTGATTTCATGACGACGAAACCACTTACTGGAGGTCGTTTGCGCGACGTGAAACGCGCCGCTGCACGCTGCGGATAGTGATGGGCTCCTCGCCGAGGTAGAACTGCTGGATGATGACCCGGCCGACCCATGCAGGCTTGGATAAGTCGTCGAAGGCTGGCTGGAGGGACTGCACAATCCATGACTCGAGCGCGCGCTGCAGAATGAGCGAGACAAATAGCTCAGTTCACCGATGCTCGTGTGGTTCAGAATGGCAAGCTGAAGAAAGTACAAAGCTCTGAAGAATGAAAGGGAGAGAAAGAAGGTCGAGAGACGTCATTTGCTTTCCTCCTGATATGGATCTTCTCATTTGAAGCAGGCAATAGAGAACTTCTGAAGGGACTGCACGACATAGGACTCGTGCGCGCTGCAGATGAGTGGAAAAAAACCTTGCGAAAGGTCAATGATTTCGTGATTCCTAGGCTCGTAAAAGCACAAAGATCTTGGAATTATGAAGGAGAGAAAGGAAAAGGAAAAACTTTATTAGTTTGCCTCCTGCAAGAGATCCGCTAATCGAAGCCGGCGAGAGAGAATTCCTGGAGGGATTGCACAATGCAGGACTCGACCGGACGCTGTAGATGAGCAGAAAACAAGCAGAACGCACTAAGTTTGAGGTGGCCGAAAACCTGTCACAGCCGTCCGATTTCCGCTTATGCAGCCAGTCTGAGAGAGCATTTGAGCAGTAGCGTTGAGCGACCAGGACCAGTCTCGGAAGCTTGGGCCCCCGCTTTTGTGCTCAACGAAGATGGAAGAAATCGGAGCCGTCATTTTGTCGACGTTGACAAGATGGACGAAAGCGACAGCTTGGCTGCTTGTCCCTCAGCCATCTCAATAATGTGCGTTCCGCCTGGATCAATGTCATAAGGAATCGTCGTGATCCAAGAATGACACAGTAGGCTGTGCTCAACGTCTGACGAACAACACTTTTGCAGAGGCAGGAAGACGAAGCCCTCTCATCTGAAGTAGAACCGAATCTTTGTGCCCAGCTGGTAAGATATTTAGAATCTTAAAGCTTTTCACTGTAGCGCTGTGAGAGAATGAAGCCAGGCGTTTCGAAATCTCCAAAGCCCCTGGTATATCTTTCAGGTCTTGCTGAGCACCATGAATGAGGACCCCCTCATAGGTAAAGACAAGAGAAAGACAGGGAAATGGGAGATAGGAGAGAAGGGAGAAGTGGGATCTGCTGTGAAGAGGGCACAGAGAAAGTTCCCTGCCCACCCGCGAAACCGTCCAGATCTTGCTGAGCACCATCTTCAAAACTTTCCTAACCAGTATTGGAGAAAAGAAAGGGCGGAAGAAAGAAACATAAGAAAAGACCGCTCATAACAGAGCGCAACCGATTCCTAATCCACGGACAAAGCTTCTCAATTCCTCCAAACACCTCAGCGAACCACCCTTCTCATCACCTGTCCGGAATGAAGAAAACAAGAAGTGAGACCGCTGCGAAAGACAGCGCAAACGCAGTGCCTTCCCCACCTGGTAAACCTTCCAGATCTTGCTGAGCACCATGTTGAGCCACTCGGCGCTCTCCTTTTGGCGGGGGTTGGCCCCAAGCTCCGGCATCGGGGGCACCGGTGCTGGCAGCTTCGGCCTGTTTGGGTCCTTGGGCTTCTCGGGGGGGATGTTTGTAACCCTGCAGGGATCCCTTTTGATGATGTCTAACAATAAAGCACGATATGGTTGACGTCGAAAGATCACTGCTCTTCTGCACAACTTTTGGTATTGTCTTTGGCCTGTTTGGGTCCTTGGGCTTCTCGGGCGGGATGTTTGTAACCCTGCAAGGATCCGTTTTGACCACATTTAACGAGTTAAAGCACAGTATGGTTGACGCCAAAGGGTCGCTGCTATCTGCACAACTCAGAGTATTCTCTTTGGCTTGTTTGATACGTGGACCCAGGCCGAGGGATGTTCGTAACCGTGCAGGGATCCATTTTGATGATGTCTAATGTCTGAAAGCAGGGTAAGCTTGACGTTGGACGACTAGCCAAAGAGCGCTTTCTGTTCCTTTGCACGACTCATTTTGTTGGGTGTCTATTCAGTTGTCTTCACTGGAACGTCAGCTTTCAGAAGCTACAAGAATCTAAATATGCGGTCACTTCCTGAAGAGCCCGGCACATCGAAGCAGAGGCCAGCCCGTCGACGTGATTTGTATCACCTTGTCTTGTCCCATAAGGTCTTTGAAGCTTCTAGTCAGGGGGCACCATCCAGTTGTTTGGAGATGGATCGCAGCAAATGGGAAAGTCTCTTAAGCTTGATAATGAGATTTCTTCGAGGGCCTGCTCCGTTATCTGTCTGCCTGAGGTGGAGTTAAACTGTTTGCTGTGGGCTTTTACAAAAGAATCTTCTCGCGTTGCAAAGGACTGATCAGGGACTTCCTTTTCAAAGTTCAGGAATCTAGTGTCGTCCATGTGTGGCATCAAGGGCGGTATGGGCTGGAGAGTGTGGTTAGGGCTCTGGTAAGAAGTGTTAAACTCAAATAAAAACTGAAGTAATGTTGAATCCAAGGACCTGCCGTTCGCCACACATTCCCTCTATCTTTCCAGTGTAACTTTGCCGTCCGGATCCTGTCTTACAAAACCTGCCCACGACGCACTCTTTGCCGTACGAAGAATGTGGAAACTCAGAGAACAGGGAGTGTGGCATTGCACCCCTGGGAATCCAAAATCCTGGCAACAGGACGACTGTCACTCAAATCACGGAGATTACAAAAAAAGCGGCCTTGCCTGGTGCCCTTTGCGTCGAGCATTGCCTGCCATCTCCACGCAAAAGCTGACGCAATCGCAAACGCAACCCCCACGATGAGGAACAACTCGTTCCGTGTTGGTTGCCGAATCGGAAAGACGTCGTCCTCAATCGTCGTCCCCGTGTAAACGCGCCCCGTCCGCTCTTGGAACCGGCGCCTCGCGTATCTTGCCAGCTTGGCAGCGGTTCTCGACGCCTCATCCGCTGACTCAGCGGCCCTTTGGCTCGCACTGCTCACTGCCTGGCTGCCGAGCTCGATCAGCCTCCGCCGCCTCTCGTCTAGTTGCACCTGGTTAAGTTTCTTCCCATCAAGGTCCGCCTCAAGAGAAGCGACTTTGCTGACATCAGGCGGGGCGGCGGCCCGCCTCGGTGCCTCTATTCTTGCGAATGCAGGGGAGTGGGTTGGGAAGACAACTGGTTCCGCAGAACCCCTCTCATCTGATGCGCTGTGAGCTAGCCTAGACTTTTCCAGCCGCGCCTCTTCTTCCAATCCCTTCCTGGGGGTGGTCACATCGCGCATGAATTGGCTCCAATCTTGGCCCAATTTCGCGGCTGTGCATTTTGATACGCCCCTCCTTCTGATTGGTTTGTGCACGACGGCCGAATTGCCGTCATTTGGATTTAAATCCAGCACCAGCTGAGACCCACCATTTCTAGTTACAGAAGACAATCTTCCGTGCAGAGGGAAGCTGTTCACATTCCGTGCGTTCATACTAGAGGCGGCTGTGCCGAAACATTTGGGCAACTGCTTGCACGGGACCGCGCATGTCGAACCACTCACTGCGGCCATTGCTGACGAGCTTAGATCGTGCAAGCACCAATTAGAAGCTCGTTGATTCCATGCTGCCAATTCAGCGTTCCAGGTAGAGACCGTCTACTGTGCTTGCTCTCAGTTCCTCAAGCAGGGCAGGGAACAATGGTCTCAAAATGCGCAGTTGAATTTCATTACAGACAATGCTTGACTATTATTCAAGGTCGTTCCACAATCAGCTATTGTCAGAAAGCAATCTAACAACAGTCAGCCTCAACAGGCGATGGCATAATCATTGGACCTCAGCAGGTGACGGCGAACTCTCATCTGAAGCCACTGCTGCTGTTCCAAAATCAGCATTCGCATGCTACGATCACTGAACGAAGCAACATGCGCCTCTGCACTCCTGCATTGATATCTCTACGTGAAAGACGATGACAGACCTTCAACGCGAGCTCCTGCTTGGCGCCCCTCTTGTCATTGAGCACATCTGGCACCAGTTTCAAAAAGAATGTCCTCCATTTTGAAAAGTGCAACGTTGCAAAGCTCAGTTGCTTCGCTGGCAAGAAAGTGAAGGACAGCTGGCAAGCGCCATTCACTGACACGTGGGAGAGTGCATCGGTCAAAGTATATCGACGGTGGAGAATTGCTGACGGACGCGGGAACTTGCCAGCAAGCCAAATGAAGTTCGGCATAAAAATCCAGCCACTCACAGGGCGCCAGGTCAGGCACCGGGGCGGGCGGGCGTGGATCGGGGTCGAATGCTGCGCTGTGATTCGTCGTTAGACCGTCTAAGGTTTTCAAGACGGTCTAACGATGAATCTGGTGCTAGTAAGATGGTCTAACAACCAATGATGTTCAAGTATTTGTTACATGAAGACGGTCTAACGATCATTCTGGTCCATGCGATTTTGAACCGTGGCACAGAATCCTACGGCTCGACGTTGCTGCAGCTATCTCGCTCTTCTGGGGGGAAGCATCAGTCAAGGTCTGGAGGGTTGTTGTGGTGGGACTCGGTGAGAGACCCGTAATTGAGCTTCTGAACAACTTCGAAAGCTGGTGTCAAAGTGCTACTGGAGAAGAAGCTCAGGCACGTTGTCTTCTTTCGACTGTTATACCAAGTAAAGCTCTGACAGGTACAAACCGAAGGCATGGCGTCTGCCCCCAGTCAAGCTGCCAATACCGGCATGGAACCGAATCAGTCAAAGCAGACTGCTGAGCTCAGAGGTGAAGCTGGCCCTGAGGCCCCAGCTGTAGGAGACGCTTTTGGCCCTTACAATCCTAGAGTTGAGGATGAAGTCAAGGCCACAAATGTTGTGGAATGGTGTCACAGCCAGGTGGTGGCCCCAGCAGATTGGCCAGACAAGAAAAATAAGCCACCCTGGGTGATTCCTGAAATAAACCCACGGCTGGGGCCATCCAAGGATCAAGCCCCTGATCCAAGGTATTGGCCAAGCATGAAACGAGAGTATCCAAATCCTGTCCAGGCAAGCAGAGGCGAGAACGCGCTGGTGCCCAACCACTTTCACCTTGCAGGCAAAGTAGTGTACTTTGTCTACTGGCCATTCTTCTTTGGAGAGCTGGTTCCTATTATCAGATGCCCCAAGTGCGGCAAGGTTGACAAGGTCACATCTGACGGATGGACAGGTGTCTCCGACAAGATCCGCCGCGTCTGTGCAGCAGATGGTCCTGCGTTCATCTATAGCAAGGTTTATAGGTGTGGGAAAGGCAAGAAAGAGGGTGAGGGTTGCCCAGGTAAGAACGACTTGCATTGTCTGCTGGAGTTCTGTCTTGCACACCTGGTTGTTTAAGGTGATTGTGATGCCTGTTTCCCAGTGCATATTTTGCTTATATTTTGTTGCAAAAGCAAGGCTTGTAGTCATTCCACAGTAGCCGATCATCAGGCGACAGGTGATCATGTTATCAGTGATTGCAGATGGAGTTTGGTTGCAAACCCAAGATGCTCTGATCCGTTTGACAGTATCTCGTGTTACAAAACAGATTGTGATCAGTTTTGCCGTAATTAGTTCAATTGAATCATTTATTGACATTTCGTGTTCCTCAATGCAGCCAATGGTGGCAAGCCCTACCAGTTCCGCTCCCATGACGAGGGGGTTTTGAGTCAATTGCCTGCCGCGGTCCTCGAGCAGCTTCCAATCATCTTCACCCGCGGCGGTGCGATTGAGCGCAGCCTTTTAGACACCATGGTTCGGAACGTGGCAACGGGTGCGTCTGTTGCTGACCAGCAGAAGATGGTGAAGGAAGCGCATATGCGCACCTTCGCCCAGCATAAGAACACCTACTATCAGTATGCAGCAGCAAGAGTGAAGCTTCGGCAAGAGAAGGCTGGAGCGCGTCTCTTTCCAGGGCTCTCCCAGCAGCAGTCCTCTCCTCCAGCTGATTTTGGAGAGTACGATGACAAGGATGGGTATCGGGGTTGGATCCCCTCCACCTCATGGGTCTCAGGTGAGGCTTTTATTCGGCAGCTGCTTCATGATTGGTAGGAGAACCTGTCTCTTTGTGCATAATGTTCGTTGTTCCATCAATTGTTCTTTATGCTCAAGCACGACGGGCTGGAGTTGCTGCAGATTCATGTGCCACATGTCCTCTTCATTCTGCTCTTGTGCTGCACGTATAGCTCCTTGGATGGATGAGATCTGGTCCAACACGTTTTCAGAGCAACCAGTCGCAGCTCCGCAGCTCAGATGTCTAAGCGATCCTGCTTTTGCCGCAGGAGTCATTCTTGCATCCTTGAACTCCCGCTTGGAGTTCCTATGCCGCCACCTGGCTGCTGTCGACGGCTCGTTCTGGAGGGGGGACCACACCTTTCAAGCTCCATCACGGATCCGCTCTGGCGATGGACGCAAGGATTATGCGGCTGTCTATTCTATTATGAACGAGTGGTCACAGATTGTGGGGCAACGGGCAGTAGGCGACACTTCCTTTGAAGAATATGAGTCCGGTCTCGCAGGCGTCTTGAAGCGCTATGAAGATTTGGGCTATCAGGTACGTATGCACAATCTGATGTGCTTGCTTACTAGGTGCTTTAGGGATGTGGCTGCCTCCTCTCTCTTCACATCTGAGTTGCCCACATCTAGGTGCTGCAGTTGAAGTATCTTTTGTCACAATGTGGACGAGCAGGTTTCCCCCTGAGGCTAAATGACGCAAAGATGACGCGATGTGCAAAAGAATGCTTCTGCAGCAGGTTCCACTGAGTAACATGAAGCCAACATAAGTTCTTACTTCTCATACAGCTGCCAACATTCATGTGGGTCGACAATTCGCGGACTGTAGGAGCTCAGCTCTCCAACGCCATTCCCAGCTTGTCTCGGGTTCTGGAAGATGCTACACATGTCCTCCGGCGTATTTTTGAGCTCATTCCCGATGCCCATTCGTGCAAAGGTAGATGTATGAAGTTTCTTTTCTGATTCTGATCCTGTAGGGTTTCAAAGTAGCGCCAATTGCTTTGCTTGGAGGGCAGGTTTCTGCATCTCAAACATGTGAGGTCACCAGTGAAAGACCACTTCTGACCAGATTGCTATCCACTCACTGTGTTGGACTTGAAAGAACAATGAAAAACTTGATCATTAAAAGTTTGCTTAGATTCCTCGATTTGGGAGGTCACGGTAGCTTGATTAAGCATAAACTGAGGCCATGTTGCTCGAGTCTAAACCATATGCAGTGCACACTTGTTGCTTAATCACTCACGTGCAACCAAAATTCGATGTTTGATTCAAACTTTCTGTGTTGCCGCCGTGCAGCCGACTTCTGCCGTGACTACGCTGCGGCCATGTTCAAGGTGCACCACCCTGACAAGCAGGCGCTGAGAGCATTTCTTTTGGCGGGAGGTCCGGGGAAGCGCAAGTGGACAAAAGCAGAGGTGGATGCAAAGCCTGCTAGCTATTGGCGTGCGCGGTGCAGGCACACCATTCCCCAACCAGAGGAGCTTGTGGCGGGTGTGGAAGCCGTCATGAGCAAGTATGGGCCAGCTTTTTGTGCTGTCAATGGAGACCCCCTCATCACCGAGGAAGTTCGAGCGGCTCATGAGCGTCAGGTGCAGCTCATGCGAGAAGGAGCTCTTAGTGGTGAGTGTCAAGCATCAGGAGCCCTTCATCTCTCTGCTTCGCTTCGATTGCATAGATATGAGAAGGGTTTTTCCTTTTGATGCACAGGAGACATGCGCTTTCAAGACTTGACTCTAATAGAGTATGATCCTTTTGCTGACTTCTTCTAGCAGTCAAACCACCTCTTCACGATTATCCCTGACCTGTTCTGACCTGATTAACCCACTCTTTGGGAAGCAATTTTGTGTTTTCTCTCTTTGACGAAACTGACAACCATTCGACCTCTTTGCAGATCCACTCGAGGTTGACAAGATGTACATCCTGGTTAGCGCGCCTGGTGCCATGCCTCGGTAGTACATTGGGGTCCGCGGCTGCTCTTCGCTTGAGGGCTACCATCGCCACCTGAACGCACTTCTTGGAGGAGGCAACTACTCCCCCGAGCTAGCCGGGGCCCTCATCGCACTTTTCAACTACCGTTGGAACTACGAGTGCGCAGTCCGCAGCAAGGGTGCGAAGGATTGGGGAATGTTTGATCACTGGCTGCTAGACTCGGAAATGCAGGTGGTCTGCGCTGCGATGGGCTGGCCAAACCCCTGCCCCGAGTGGCAGCGAGCGCCCCCCACACAAGAGCAATTTGGGGTCCATGCTGCAAGTGCAGCCATGCAAGCAGCTGCAACATATGAGGGGGATGGGGAGCAAGAACCTGAGGTACTGGACGAAGAAGCCGCTGTGCTTGAGGGTATTTTGGAGAAGCAGCTTCAAAGGCAAGCGCAGACTGCAGGTGCGTGTATGTCCCTTGACTTTCGTAGCCGATTATTGCCGTGTCACTTGTGTGCAAAATTGCATAAGGTTCTGGTAGGCAGTCATCGCCTTTCGAAACGCGGTTTTGTTGCTAGCTCGCCCTTATTTGTCGTTTTGAGCAGCTTTCCTCGAGCCTCGACAGCATCATGGGCGTCTGCCCCCCTGCACCCAATTCTTAAGTCGCCCCGCAATTGGGCAGACGGCGTGCGCTCTTTTGTTGCAGCGGCTGCCCCCCTGCAAGGCAGGCCGATCCTGCCCCCTGCGGCGGTCAGC